TCTCGCCACCCTCCTACTACTCCTCCTCCCACTCCTCCGCTTCCTCCCCACAACACCTCCACCCTTCCGTCACCCTCCTACTCTTCTCCTGTCCACTCCGATACTCACCTTCGGACCTGACACCTTCCCTCTCCTCCACACCTTTCCTCATTCCTCCTTCCTCTCTCTCCCCTCTGGCCCTCTTCCATCGACCCCCCGCCAAGTTACGACCTTCCGCCGCTGTCCCGTACTTCGTACTCGAACACTGCTTGTACCTTTGCTCCAAGCCTCTGTCATAGCTCCTACCTCAGACTTTGACTCCACCTCGGCCTTAGTCCATTGCATTGGTGACCTCATACTACGTAAACACCATTGCCAATATCCCTCGGACTTTCAACCCCACCTCCACAACCTCTGAGCTCCACGGATCACCTTCAGCACTTTCGCCACTTGTAATGTATCTCTTGCGTTTTCCCCTCATCCCTATTTGGACTGCTGCTTCTTCCGTTATAGCCAGTTAGTCATCATCCCCACTTCCACTCATCCTCCTGCCCCTCTGGGCCTCACCCTCCTTACCTCCTTTCAGACGTACCACAGGTTCTGCCTTATGACCTTCAGTACCGCTCCGCTTCGGTCTTCCCTTTGTTCCCGTTCAGATGCCTTCGTTCTGATTCAGATCCCCTTTGTTTCCTTGTGCTTTCGCCCTCCCATTATATATATTGGTGCCTGTACATACTCGTTTTAGGCCTTAGTCTAAAATCGACCTGAAATGCCCCCTAGAGACTTCCTACTCGCCTCCTATGAAATTAAGGACCAAATGGACAAACAGCAATGGCACAGCACTCCACTTGAGTCGCTGAGGCCAAGGTCCCTCCTTGCTAAGTCTCCGGTTCCCCTCTGGAATCGTCCGCCCTTGCCCAGTTCTAACACTATGCTCCCGACTCCAGACCTCTGCTCCTGAATCCCGTTTGCATCTCCATCTCCAGAACCTCCGGTCTTAGCTCCAACCTTGGACTTTGACCCCACCTCCGCTTATACCCATTGTATTGGTTAACTCATTCCATTTAATTACCTTTGCCAATATTCCGGAGTTTAACTTCCGAGTTTGGACTTTCTGGACTTACTTTTGGACCTTGCAACTATTGCATTGCTCCATTCAATTCCGCTATTCTCCCTCATTCGTATTTGGGCTGCTGCTTCCTTTCTATTCAGTCAGCTAGCCATTCCCCACTCCCATCCTCCTTCCATCCTCCTTGGGCCTTGGCCCTTCACTCCTCCTTTGGGAAACACCATTGAGTCAAACCCTTGACCCTTGGTGTTGTTCCTCCTTCCAGCTCCCTTTGTCTCCTTTCGGAGTACCCTTGCTCCTTTTGATTCCGGACCCCTCCTTATATACAATGTACTTAGTAACTTGTAACCTCAGTCTGAAATCGACTTGATTTCCCCCAAGAGACTTCCCCTTGCTAGATCCGAAATTAGGGACCCCCAGGACAACCAGCAATGGCACAGCACTCTGCATGAGTTGCTGAGGCTGAGGTCCTTCCACGCTAAGTCTCCAATTCCATTCCAGAGTCATCTGAATCCGCTCGATCTAACACACCCCAAATAAAGTCCCCACCCACCGCTGGCAGGTGATCTCAGTAGACATGGTGGGAGAGCTCCCAGAGTCGAAGGGATATAATGCCATCCTAGTACTAGTGGACCACCTGTCCAAACGTATCCATCTGATCCCCACTGTGACGTCCATGGATTCGGCTGGTATTGCCTGGCTCTTCCCGGAGCATGTCTGGAAGCACCACAGGCTCCCCGAGGAGATCCTCAGTGATAGGGGAAGTCCCTTTGTCTCACGCTTCTTGAGGGAACTTGCAGACCTCCTAGGGGTCAAGCTAACCCCTTCAACACCCTACCACCCCCAGACTGATGGACAGACAGAACGAGTCAACCAGGAGATCGAAGCCTATCTCCGGGTGTTTGTCAACCACTGCCAGGATGACTGGGTGGACTGGCTCCGACTGGCAAAGTTTGCCTACAACAACCGTGTCCACTCGTCCACCCATTGAACCCCCTTCGAGCTTGACACCAGGCAGCACCCCAGGATGGGGATGGAACCCACACGCACGTCCGAGGTAGAAGCCACCAATGCTTTCTCATCCAGGATGATGAAGATGCAGGAGGAGGTGAAGGCAGCTCTGGAGCATGCAGCAGACGAGATGGCCTGCTACTATGACCAAGGCCAGGAGGCAGCCCCCAAGTACCAGGAAGGTAACCAAGTCTGGCTCAGCGCCCAAAACTATACAACTGACCGCCTGACCAAGAAGCTGGACCATAAGTGGCTAGGCCCCTTCAAGGTCATCAAAGTCATCTCCCTGGCTGCTGTCAAGCTCCAGCTCACCGCACGGCAGAAGGGAGTACACCCAGTCATTGTCATATCCATCCCCAGCCATCGACTTCCAGTCCCTCCGATCCCTCCGCTCCAACTCCGCTCCTCCCTCACTAACCTTGGAGCCCCCGTATTCCGCAAACCTCTCGGTACCCCTCGATGGTCATCACCCCCTCATTTCAATTTATTACCTACGCCTCCCTAAGTACGGAGCCCCGAAGACTTCCGGACAGCTCCGATGTCCGCTAGCGCACCCCCGCCTCCGCTGAGCAATACACTCGCCTGCCCTGCAGAGTCCACCTTCGGGCTTATCCCTCCTTTCCGTTTCTGGGTTATCGCCTGCCTTCCCGCTAACCCCGTGAACTGACTCGTTGGTAATATTCAGTCGGCTAATGGTTAAACCCCGTTAGCTCCGCTCCGTTCGGCTCCGCCAATTGCGGAACCGTCTCCGCTGTAACCATATATATATCCCACTTGTACATAGGTTGCACCCCAGTAGAAAAATCAACTAGAGTTACCCCCCTAGGTTCTAATTGCCAGTCAGTAAGTTAGGGCATGGACGTGTCACTAGGCACAGCGCTCTTGGCAGAAGTCGCTGAGGCCGAAGCCCTCCGTTATGGAGACACTCCTTCGTCTCGAATCTGGTCTCTGACAGTTGTGTCCATGACAAACATAAGACCCCATCACCTGGATGAGATTGCAGAACGACCCCCTGACCCCTGCCTGGGCCCAGAACTTGTAGATGGAGAAGAGGAGTACAAAGTTGAGAAAGTATTGGACTCTAAATGGCTACGCCAGAAACTCTGGTATCTGGTAAAGTTCATGGGTTGGCCAAGCTCAGAGAACCAATGGCTCCAGCAGGACCACTTAGCCCATGCCCCCAACTGGATTGAGGAGTTCCACAGGACGCACCCCCAGGCTCCAGGAAGAGAGAGGGAGAACTGCCTGGCCACTTCAAGGCGAAGCAGCTTAAGGAGGGGGTGATGTCAGGGCACACCCACCTGACCTGGCCCCACCTGACCCGGTCCCCCACTACCCACTCCTCCCCTACCTCCTCCTCCTTCTCTCTTTCTCCTTTCCCTCTTTCTCTCTCTCTTTCTTTCTTCCCTCTCTTTTCTCTCTTCTTTCTTCTATCAATGTACTATTGACCTGGCTGCAGTACAACACACCCGGACCCAGACACACCAGGCAACCTCCTGCACACCAGGCACTCCTGGGATCTCTTGTGGAGATACCCGGATGGATGTGGCTGTGTGCATAGATGACATGGCCTAACTTGGGCCTAACCACATGTATATAAACACAGCCTAAGTGGGAACTGAGAAGCAACCTTCTTCTCACACTTCCCACTTCAGGCAAGTAGCTTACATTCCCCCTGTCAATAATAATAACACACTTCCCACTTTAGCCTAAGTGGCCAGGGACACCTGTTTGCTTCGGGCCCGTTGTTATGCGTGCCTGCGTCACACCCTACCGGGCCCTCAGCCCCGGGCGACATACCCAGACGCTCTCGACCCCGGGTCGGTCCCTGACAGGGTTTGGGTATCCAGGAAAATGTCTCCAGATGCCACAGCAGCTGCTCTCGCCAAGGGGGGGTCATTTCGGGAAATGCCGTACACGGGGTTCATCATGGTTTATTTCACACGACTAATCATGATGGTATCTAGCGCTGAATGGTGCCGCATGGTCCTGCGTTTTTGCAGCGCTGATGGGACCTTGCGGGTGTTCACTAGTCCTCGCGTTTATTGTCTTCACGTGTTTTTCACGTGTGTTGTGCCTTCTCTCCGCTCCCTCAGCGCTGCCTTCGCGTTTGCTCCATCGGGACTGGTAAGTCCTCACTTGGTTGCAACGGGGCCGGAAACTTACATGTGCGCTTCAGACAAGTCGTCTGCATTGAAGTTGTTGAAATAACCACCTCAGCCTAACAGGGCGTATGGTGTACAACTTTTAGGTTTCCCTAAAAGACCACGTGCAAATTCCAACAGAAGTTTCCTCTCAACCTTTTGTTGCGCTGTGCACCCTAGTGAGTCCATCTACTGCGAACAGGACATAACACTTCCCTCCTCTCGCAAACGTGCGATCAAAGGAGGAATTGACATCCCAATTATGCCATTCAACGCTCCAGTAGAACACTTCTGCCAGTGCACGGGAGTTTGTCTCCGTACCCACCTCCTGCTACTCGCGCTCGGGGAGCAGCACCAACTACGCACCGACTCGATCATATGATCCTCTCGCCTCAACTTCGAGTTTTAGACCCTCGAGTCTATCTATGCTGGTGCTTGCGGTTGGACTCTGATTTGCATTTCCTTGGTCCTCTCTGAGCTCCCCTTTGCAACTCTGAGGTTGGCTTATTCAGAAGAACTGGCTTGACAGCCCCCTCCAATCCAATATCTGAGTTGGATACCTTGAACCTTTGTCTGCTTCCGACCGCACCAGCTGCGTACTGAGGCACCTCAATTCGGTGAGCCTTTGGCCTTGTTTGTTTCTCGTGCATTGTGAGCCAGATACGCTTTGCTCCCTTCTCCGGCAGCCTTCATATCAATCTGATGGAGACCCAGTGATGGTCGTGGTTCCGCTTGGTGAGTCATCCATTCTTTGTCCAATATGATACGACAGTTAAACCAACGTTTTCTCATGCAAAGTTGTACTATTGATTGGGTTTCTATATGATGGTGGTTACGATAAAGGGATGTGAATTCATTTCTCCTGCCGTGCTAGGTGTTCGAGGACCACGGTTTTTGCAATGACGAGTTAAGCAGAAGATTGCATTGCCGCGTTAGAAGCCTTCCACTGGGCCTTCAGCTTCATGCTTCGTGCTGTACAACACTAAACATTGAGATTCAGAACCACATTCCACCTGCTATTAATACATGTGATTCCTTTGCCCGTTGCTAACTCAATCGATCTATATGTAATGGATAAATTACTTTAGAAGTTAGAGTCGTTACGGATTCGCTGACCTTGCTTAATGACTGACCCAGATCCCTGGCGTGAAAACACTGTCGTATGGAGCACCGAGAGCCGGTATTTCTTTCCCTTCGAGATCCGCTTTATCATATCCATCTTCAAGGACCAGCACCAAGGCGACATGCCCATGCGGCTCATCCCCGTTTCCAAGATATTTGAAAGGGAGGGGAAATTTCTCCCAGATTGCTAAAAATCTGCTATTGTCCGGATCCTCTGGTCGAGTCCCATATGTCTCCCGGATTTTGGTGAGATCAACCTTGTAGCCTTTGATGAAAAGAACTTCTGAGTCTGACATCTGCTACTAGATTAGCCTCGTTATACTTTGACCTATGATGGGAATCAGACTCACCTCTTCGTCCTGAATTCGAACGATCGTTTCAAAACTCCGCTCGATTTCTGCACGTGATCAAGCTAGTTTGCTGGCGCTGACTGTCAAGACATCTACCTTCGTTCGGTCCGGTCTATTGCGTTAGCTCGACAACCATCGACCACACTCATGTCTTCTACACCTGAGCAAAGATACCGGCGAAGACTTGCTCAGAAGGCCGTAACAGGGCTTCCCACTGAGGCGATCCTATATGCCATCTTCAATGAATTTGTTAGTTTGCATCAACAACAACATCGCTTCGTCATCTACCCTCAGATGAACTTGAAATGGAAGCCTCAGGACGTACGAGACCGACGCTCAGAAGTCCCAGACTTTGGTTTGGGGAATTTCACCCTTCCGACTACTGGTCATCCACTTTTCAAGCTTCGTTGTGGCGTAGAAGCAAAGCGCGCTCTTGAAATAATGGCCCCTCTTCCGCCTGCCAATCTAATAATGTCCGATCTCGATGTCAAATCTATGTTCCATTCTCTCTCCTTCCAGGCTCAGAATCAAGCCAAGGCAGCTTACAAGAACGAGTACCCCCTGTCCCCCAACGGCGTTGAATGGATTCTCCTAATTGGACCGTATTGGATGCCAAAAACATTTGGTCCTTTTTCAGAGGCTGAAAGCACCGTCCGTGCTAATAAACTATCTGACAGTGGTGATTTCGCCGCCACTATGGGCTCTTCTCCCAAATGCGTGGGCCTCCTCCCGACCTTGCCGAACTTTATCTTCTCGGTACCCCAGAATCTTTTAATCGATTGGAACAAATCATCGCTTCGACGGACCACCTTGCACAACCATTCATCCAAGCCATGACTTCTTGGTATATTGCACCTTATACTATCTGTTGCATCGTTAACTGAGCTTCCAGAACCTGCATAACGTTTATGGTGATAGCCTGATTAGCGGAAATAGACACGACCAAGGAACTATTCTTATAATTTATTGATTAGAAAATACCTTTAGTTGAGATCGCCGATGAGCCTGTATCTCACTCTACTGTATCACAGAACATTTCTCTTTACCAATGTTCCAAGTAGACAATAGGGTATTGCCGTTGTACTCATCTGCCCAGGAAAAATCTTAGCATTCCAACCGTTCGGCCTTCTTTGATGCACTCCGCCATTTGACGGGTTGATCTATCACGGTGGAGCTAGCACAGCTTACTGTTCTTTCGCAATCGGTGACTTCTATGACGAGCATTGGAAAGGCGCTGAGGGCAACCTGTCAGCGCTCTCTCAGAATGCCCTTTCAACTAATCAGCGCGCTTTGCGATCCGGGGAGTGTATGATGCCCCCATGGCTCCAGTGTCTAATGGTGGTTCTAACTTGGGGAAAGGCTCGAAATATAAGTCCCCTCAGTGTTTCCCACAGGTAGATTCCTATGTGTCCGTGTGAATCTCTGAGTGGGATTCAATGCGGAAGCGGCTCACTATTCTGGTTGGATTTGTTGCCAAAGCCTTACAGTTGTGCAGAGCACCACTTCGGGTCTGCGGGTCTGCATGGATGGTAGCGCATGGGAAACAGACTCAATCTCCATCACTCTGATCCGATCTGGAGAGGTCTGATCATCCCAATGTTTCCAATCAGCCTGATCTAGCTGATCCGAGTTGATCCTAGCTCCACTGTATTGATTAGTCCATACAGTTTCTTATGTACATACAGGAGTGCAGCAAGTGGGTTTGTCCCCTGCTCTTGTTATTGACTAGGTTACTGGGACCACCACTAGCACAAACTGATCCATGTTCCCTGACATGGACAGGCAAATTCATTAAATTTTCTATCATGGGAACAACAGTGTCTTTGCATAGTTGTACTCCATTTAGCCATGGCTATCTGTCATGACCATGCATTCTGGCCTGGATGCCAGCCCCTTGTTCTGTTTCCCTCTGCTTTATTTATCATACTAGTTGAAGCCTTTGGCTGGCAGCACTGACACTACACTCAACATAAATCAGCCATGCAAGAGGGGGACATGCTTTTAGTCTCATGCCCTCCCATCAAATGTAATTTGTTACATGGAATACATTCAGAGCCATTGATGGCCAAACAGTCAGTGTAAACCTGGCAACACTATCCCACATTCCCCCATTTCTTTTCCTCCTCTTTGCACTTCCATCATTTGGGGTCACTGTCATATCTGTGCATACCTGATCCCGACCCGACTTCCGGACCTCCTTCCCCACCTCCGGAATCCTACCCTACCGCTGTCCGTTCCGATATTCACCTTCGGTCCTGGCACCATACCACCCTTCACCTCCCATGCCACCCCCACTCCTCCGTCACTCTCCTTTCCTATCTCCATCCACTCCGATAACCACCTTGGACCGAACACCACCCCTCTCACCACCCTCCTCCTCCTACTCCTCTGCTCTACTCCCATCCACTCCAATACCCACCTTCGGACTTGACACCTCTCCTCTCTTCCTTCCCCTCTCTTCCCTCTGGTCCTCTTCCGCCGACCTCCCGCCGCTGACCTGTACTTTGTACTTGGGCACCGCTCGTACCTTTGCTCCGAGCTTCCATCATAGTTCCTACCTCGGACTTTGACTCCACCTCGGTCTTAGTCCATTGCATTGGTGACCTCATACCACGTAAACACCATTGCCAATATTCCTCAGACTTTCAACCCTGCCTCTGTAAGCTCCACAACCTCCGAGCTTCGCGGATCATCTTCGGCACTCTCGCCACTTGTAATGTATTTCTCGCATTTCTCCCTCATCCCTATTTGGACTGCTGCTTCTTCCCATTCTAGCCAGTTAGTCATCATCCCCACTTCTCACCATCCTCCTGCCCCTCTGGGCCTCGCCCTCCCTACCTCCTTTTGAATGTATCACAGGTTCGGTCTTATGACCTTCGGTACCACTCCGCTTCTGTCTACCCTTTGTTCCCGTTTGGACATCTTCGTTCCATTTCAGATCCCCTTTGTTTCCTTGTGCTTTTGCCCCCTCCATTATATATATCGGTGCTTGTACATACTCGTTTTGGCCTCAGTCCGAAATCGACCTGAAATGCCCCTAGAGACTTTGTCAGAACCGTGCGAAGGTTCGCCAAGGGTAGCCATAGGTGACCGAGCGTTGCCTGCTGGTGGTAAAGGCGTCCTACACCCAACCGAGCTTTAGTGAGGGATAAACCCCACCGATCTCGAGGCCGAGGCTACTTAGGCGAGTGAGCCGGGATTTCGGCTTCAACGACTCTAGGAGGAGCGTTGCGCCTCGTTCTCGACGCGGTCCTGATACTTCAGAAGGTCGGAGGTCTCACGGGGACAGAGGTAAGCTTTAGGGGGTAATTCTAGTTGATTTCGAACTACAGTACAAGCATTAGTTACAAGCTGTATATAAGCACTAGGGAACTGAATAGGGAATAAGTTGCCAGATCTCGCGGAGATTGCGGGCAGAGAAAAGAAGGAGGAAAACAAACAAAGGGCACGTGTTCAAGACAACGAAGGTCAAGCGTGACCTTCGCCGCTGGGTCGTTCAACGACAATTAGGAGAGGGGTTGTGGAGAGGTGGCAGGAAGTGGTTAGATGGTGACGGGCGGCGAGCGGAGTGTGCGGGGAGTGTTCGGGCGTGGGAGAAGGTCAGGGAGGAGGTCATCTGGCCCCGGGGAATGCCGGGTCGTGACAGTATCCCCCTCTTAGGACTGAACCCTTGAAGTCCCAAGGAACTGGCGTGGGAACCGGTTCGGCTGAGCCCGAAATTTTGGTTCCGCTGGCGCGGTGATCGAACTTACCACCACAACAACCTGATCTTCCATCCTCATGGCTCCCAAGAAAAATCCAGCGGATATAAGGATGTGGAGCAAGGAGGACATCGTCGATCAGTCCGATGACGATGTGGAGCTGATGGAACAGAAACAGGTGGAGAGGTTGCGGCATTGCAGGGCTGAGATTGCGCGTCGTGAGGCCCAACAACAAGAGGAGGCAGCCAGGGCTCGAGCCGAGGCTGCACGTCTCGCCGCTGAGGAGGAGAGGCGATCGAAGGCGTCAGATGTGGTCGCAGGCAAGGTGAGTACCCCGATCAGTGTGATCTTTGCCAGGAACCCTTACTGATCGCCCTGATCAAAGCGTCCTGCTGCTACATCAGTGGTGGGGGAAGGACTGCCCCCCTGCGAACGTTGCGTGAAGAGAGGCGTGGAGTGTGTTAAAGGCAACAGCGATCATGGCGTCTGTGCCGCATGTCAGAAGTCCAGGCAGAAGTGTGTACGCGGAGCGGGGACACCTCAATCTTCGAAGCGACCTCGTATCAAAGCGCCGAAAGGAGAGGGGTCAACGATGGATGTGGATGATGTGGAGACGGAGGAGGATGAGGTGGTCAACGACAAAGACAGGATCTATGATGTGCTTCGCAACATCCATCAAGCGATCTCTGGCCTAACCGCCGTGGCGGGACGATTGTTGGAACATGTTTGTGACACTGAAGAGAGGCGGTTGATGGAGGCGAGGGCGAGGCGCGAGGCGAGGGAAGCAGGGGAGAGGGAGGCGAGCATGACGGGGTCTAGGGTCGATCATCCTGCGACGTCTACTTCCGACTCCTACTCTACTTTGTTCTTACATGATCCTTAAGCGCAATCCATCCATTCCGTCCCATGCCTTAGGCGCGATTTGGTCCCGGCTTATCCAGGTATCGTGAGTGAAAGTCCGCAACGAGGTCTGAAGTGTGACCAAGTTCGGTCGCGGGGAGCCACTCAGTCTCTTCTGTAGTCCCTTCATAACCGTCCCAACGTACAAGGTACAACAACTTGCAGCTTCGCCGGCGATTGATTTTAGAGTTGAGGATCTCGGCAATCTCATATTCAAGTTTGCCGTCGATTTCGATTGGCGGCGGTGGCGGCTGCATGCGGTTCGGGATGGGGTTGGGGACAGCGGGCTCAAGTTGGGAGACATGAAAGACTGGGTGCACAGCCTTCATGGTGTCGGGGAGGTGGAGAGTACGAGAATGAGAACCTGGCTGCACGATGATCTCGAACGGCCCAAGGTTCTTATCGGCGAGCTTCGCCGAAGGCCTAGTGGTGCAGAAGTACTTGGCCTTCACGAATGCGGAGCTGCCAATGCTGAACGGGGGAGCAGGTAGCCGTCGAGCATCCACAGGGCCTTGGTAGCGTTGCTGTGCGTGGTTCATTTCCTCGCGTAGGAATTGGTGGAGAGAGTCGAGATTGACTGAGTACTCCTGGGCTCGCGCCGAAGTCAGATCTTGCTCGGGGTGTATGGCAAGGTTCGGGTGGTAACCTTTGTTCGTGAAGAACGGTGAAACACCGGTTGTAGCATTCGGCGCATTATTATAGGCGAACTCCGCCAGGGGCAGGAGCTCAGACCAATTGTCCTGCTGGTAGTTACAATAGACGCGCAGATACTGCTCCAGTGTTTGGTTCATTCGTTTGGTCTGACCGTCGCCTTCGGGATGGTAACCCAAGGTGAAGTGTAGGCAAATGTCCAGAGCCTTGCCAAGGGAGCGGAAGAAGTGGGAAACGAATTCTGAACCCCTATCAGAGGTTATGTGGGATGGAACGCTGTGCTTGGAGAAGACATGGAGGAGGAACAACTTCGCTAACTCCGGGGCTGTTATGGTATCGGTCGTTGGCACGAAGACGCACTGCTTTGATAGCCGGTCGACAATAACCAAGATAGCCATGAAGCCGGAGGAGTCGGGAAGTTGCTCAATGAAATCCATTGATATGGAGTGCCATGGGTGTTCGGGAATAGGTAGCTGTTTGAGCAAGCCATACGGCTTGTGTCGTGGGGTCTTAGCGTGGGTGCAAGCCGTACAGGAGGACACATAGTCCTTGACGAATGTGCAGACGCCCGGCCAGGTGTACTCTCGGTGTAACAGATCCAAGGTTCGGTTCTGCCCGAAGTGGCCAGAGAGCGGGTGGTCATGCTTATACCTCAGGATGCGAAGCCGGAGGTCGTTGGCATCGGGGACGTAGATTCGGTTGTCTAGCCGTAATAGGCCATCTGCGTCTCGAGACCAACGGGAGTCCTCTGGGATCGGGCCGG